AGTAAAACAGAGGTAATTTTTATTTGCAGTTGTCACACTCTATAGTTACAGGACAGAAAGGGTTCTTGAGGGGGGGAATTAGCTCAAATGGTAGAGCGCTCGCTTAGCATGCGAGAGGTAGCGGGATCGATGCCCGCATTCTCCACTGTTACATTTTTTTAGTGGTGGGATTAAAACCAGGTTACTATAAAAGATGCTTGTGTGTATTGAACTGGAATTTTGGAGTAAATAAGCTTATTTCCTATATGCACATGATTTATTTCTTAAATGCTGCCGTATATTTGACTAAAATAAAATAACTCATTAAAAAACTGACTTTGGGCAGGTTTTTTGGGAAAAAACAAATGCTGGAACATATTTCTTCTCGTAAATTGCAAATAATAAAGTATTACTCTATTTATTCACCTGGAAAACATGTCTTTTCTTGTTTGTCTTGTTTCTTACTATGTCATTTGGAAATATTAAGTAAAATATTACAAATTTATTATTTGACACCTCTTTTGGAATTGAAGTTGAATGTATTGTCATTTCTGAATAGACAAGAGGAAGAGAAAAAAATTTGATGTGTGGAACTGTGTATGTGTGGAACTGCAGAGTTCTGTGATCCTGCTGAGAAAAAGGGGAGGGGAATTAGCTCAAATGGTAGAGCGCTCGCTTAGCATGCGAGAGGTAGCGGGATCGATGCCCGCATTCTCCAGTGTTTTGTTAAACAGGAGTTGTTACACCTAGAAGTATTTCTTCTAAACAGGAATTCCTAAGCAGGAATTGTTGCACCTAGAAGTAGAAAACAAAATATATTAACTTTTTCGGTAAACTGTTGGTTTTGCTTATATGAGGGTAAAACTGATTTTGTCCTTTTCTTCCTCAGTGTGTTTTACTACCAAAACCAGGATTTTGTAACTGTATATGTTAATCCTCTGTCACAACTGTTGGCTCTTCATGGCCCGTTAAGGCAATATAATTAGTAGGTCTTCTGCTCAGATTTTATGAACTACTGCTTTTCATAGTAGCAAATACAGTGCTCGTTTCCCTATCAATTTGGAGTCCAAAGGTGCCAGTCAGAAGGGGAGTCTGGTTGTGTTTATTGCATAGACAAGCTGTACTTCTGAAACCTTACAACCCACAAGTAACTAACTTTTTTATTTTTTCAAGCATTAAATTATGCAAGCTGGTGCCAGGCTGTGTAAACTTTGTTGTAAGGTGGCCATGCAAACTGAGAACTGGATGACAGCCTCCATATGTCTCGTCATTCTTTTAACTCTACTGTCAGTTTACCTCACAGATGATGAAACCCATGCATTTTAAGTAAACTACACATGTATTTTTACAAGAGTACATGTGGTCTTGTAGGTGTCAGAAAAAATACAAAATGCTTACTTTCTTCAGCCCATATCGCTGCCTCCAGACAGCAAGTTACATAGCAGCTCTAATTATGAAATCAGATACAGTGCAAAAGTGGGATTGAATCACTTCCCTGACAAGCTATTTGACATGCAGTCTTTAGTGTACTTTCTTCTTTTCCTGAGATAATCCTGAAGTCCTGCGGCCTTCAAGGAAGATAAAATTGCAATTCCAGAGTGACTGCCAAAAATAAAGACTGAAGTTTGATGAGGCCAACTGGAACTCAGTCTCAAGGAGTATATGATCTCAGTTATGGTAAGCATAGGATTATCTTGATAATTGTTTCTTAGGAGTTTACATCTGTTCCTACTGAAGCACCTAACAAAACTGGGGATGATTAGATTGAGTCACTTCTCAGTCAGATCTGTGCTTGCAGAGAAATGGAAGTACCACCTCTGAAACCAGTAACAGGGGTAGCAAATGACATCTTTTGGTCCATCTTGTACTGATTCCCAACCACCCTGAGTAGCCAGTGATTGTATTTTGTGCTAGGAAAACACAAGAGTACCATTCTATTTCACCAGAAAATTCTCTTTAAAATAAGAGAGCAGATAATTTCAACTATGGTCTCTCAAAGTGACTTACTGCAAAGTTTTGCCAGTAGGCCTGTAACTTCTTTTAATGCCTTTTGTAAAATGTATAGAAGACTAATGCCTTTTTTTCTATGTTGCTTCTGATGTTAATAATATGAAGTTTCTGGCAGGAGTGCTTTCCCCTGGTTGCATATTCCAGTCTTTAAATGACTTGAGTTTTTTGTTTTGTTTTTTTACATGAGCTTACTTATAAACGCTAACAGCATAGTGTAAATACAGCAGTAAATTATGATACAGAGTTTGAGGCTATTGTATAGGGTAAGGAAAATATTCCCAGTTTATTACTTTAATCTTTTCATTTGTGTACAGTTCAGATTAGCATATGGGTGATGAAGATCTTTTGCTCTGCTTTTTTTTTTTTTTTTTACAAAAATACTGTTTATAAGCATTTCCATTCTATCTACCTAATGATGTATTGGCACTTGCAGTCGTTTCTTATAAAAAAAAACAAACCAAAAAATCACTATCAACTACTACGTACAGGCTTTCAGAGCCACCTAGTGGGGTTATTCTGCAAATAACCCCGTAATCACTAAACACAGTAATTAGCATATCCATTTTACTTTAAAAACCAAAGAACTAGAAGATGCAAAGAATCAAATCGAAAGGGAACTGAAACCCATTTTACACACGAAAACTTTCTTCCATTTCCTAGAACACTTGATTTTTGTGGCTGCATGATTCAATAGGCACTTGAATTTGCAAGTAGATGAACAGCCCAATTTGTTTAACAGTAATAGTTTCCATACTGACAGGCAATTTTAATTTGAGGAATTTTGCTGATGTAGCCAGATGCATCACTTTTGTTTTTCTTTTTTTTTTACCACAAAATCAAATTTTAAACACATATTTAAGAAACTTTCTTGGTGCTGTTTTGTCTGACAGGAGGAGGTACCAAGCAGTTAGGAAGGATAGTCTTGTAGCTGCAAGAGTGGAAAAACGGGAGACAAACGTTTATGAACTGAGGTAGTACCTCAGGTACCAAGCAGTATGAATTTTAAAAAGTATGTAAGTGATACTTTCCAAGAAGCAAAAAGCAACTGTGAAATCAAGGTATGTTACCGTTGGTGAAGAAAGAGGAGGAAGGCATGAGATGGTTGTTTTCTAAGCAAAATACATAACTAATAATATGGCAGCAAGAAAAATGAGATGCTATAAGACAAGAGCCATAGAGAACCTGATTCTGCTATTTAAGGGAGTTTAGAATTTGTACAGGTTTTTTAAGAGAGGCATCAAGCTCCCAGGATCTTAGCTTACCAACTTACCTATATCTAGCTTTAAAGCCTTGAGTAAGGGAACCTAGACTTGTATAGAAAAGCACAAAATGAACTACATCCAGTCCATGAAAGGCAAGAAGATGAGGTAATAGTGATTTGTTTAGTAATCGACAAGACTGGGGAGAGAGGGTTGTATCTTAACCTGATCCTTCATATATATGCTGTATTTTTAACTCCAGGATAGACTGAGTTCCTTCCTTATACTAAAAAGCCAATCACTGAAATTTCAACTACAAGTAAATGGTATCTTGCTCATACAATGAGCCAGTAGTAAGAAAAATTAGGTTTTAAGGTGCTCCCCTTTCACATGGAGATTCTCTTCCCTTCTGTCAGAAGCAGTGGCACAGAAGTACTTACTTCAGCTTGAAAGGGCTAAGTGAGCTATCTGTATCTCTGAGTGAGACTCCTCTCAGAGCTGGTGAACTCTCAAGTTTAAGTTTGAAGGACTGTCACCGAAAAACTGACAACAGGGCCTGGACTGAAGATTGCCCATTCCTCAAGGCTCAACCTTTGCCTGTTAAAAAATTCTGAGATGTTTCAAGTGAGTATTTCACTGAGCTCCAGGGAAATTTTTAACAGGTATACTTTTATGCATGTTTGTCTTTTTGTGCATGTGTGTAGATTGATTTAGATACCCTGTAACACAGCATGGATGTTGTCCCCTTAGACCTGTAATTAAGTCACTGCTGCTAGATCTTGTGATCCACCTTAAACTGCAAATAACCTTAGTCGACTGCTAAATATAGGCTTCGAACTGCTGCACAATGCTGGTAGCTCACAAGCCATGTAAAAATCACATCTGTGGTAAATTGGTACTTCTACAACATCATACTAAGATCACTTTTTGCTGATATCTTAGATAGTGATTCTTTAGGCAATCCTAATTGATTACACATGTAACCCTTTAGGCATAAGCCATTGTCCAAGTCTGAGGCTAGGACTGGACCACCTAGTTGCACCGAAACTCCAGGAGTTCAGAAAGCAAGGGGAGTCCAGTCTGAACATTGTGACTCAACAGGAGGGTCTCCTTTATCCTTTTGTATCTTTAGTCTGTGTACATCATTAAATCAATTCTAACTTTATTTTCCTTTGTATGTTTAACCCACGTAGTACCTTGCCCTTGAAATTTGCTAAGTTGCATTTTCACAACTCCGTATTAAAACTACTTTTGCTGGTATCTTTGGTGATTCTTTGAGTAAGTCAAAACCACTCATTTGTGACACTGTACCATTAGGGAATGAATTAGGGAACTGTCCTGCTAGCTTGGCTGTAAGAACAATAGCAGCCGTTGAAGTGCAATGGCAAAGAACATCTACCCCAGCTAGAATGTGGGAAGATTCTCCAGTCATGTGCTACTGGACCTTGTTCTTTCAGGACAAATTATATGACATTACACCCATGATGGGTATCTCAATTTATCCTGTTAATTGACACAAGAAAACCTGGTTTCAAGTAGAATCTATCTGCCTTTTTTACACTGAGGGTACTACCAAAGTACTTTCAAGTCAGACAGATGAACAAAAAAAAAAAGCAAAGCTCCTTTCACGTTCCCACAAAGAACTTCCTAGAAATCACAGAATTCTAGATGTAAAAGTGCTCATTTTCATTTTAAAAGGCTCTTAGCATTCATTTCAAGTAAAATAACTTTATTTCAATTACAGCAATACTAATAGTGAAATTGCATTTACTAAAAAAAGAAGTTATTTAAGACTAATTTTTACAATTCAACTTGAAATATAACCTTGTTTGCATGTTCTACAAAACCTCATGAAAACACATAGCACTCAACACATTTAGTAATTACATGGAGCTAAAATGTAAATAGCGTTATTCACCTGATGACCTTCTAGGTCCTCCTTATGCTAGGTATCTTGCGCTGACAGAAGTGCCCCATAATCATTGTTACACTTGTCAGAGCAAGTGCTAGCCCCAAATCTTAATCTTGCAGACAGGTAATATTGTAAGGCAAAGTAAAGCCATGACAGCTGGCTGGCAAGCAAAAGCTGTGCTTGTCATAGCAAATGATAGTCCCAAATCTCAAAGATCTTACAGACTGACACCATCTTAAGCAAAAGCTGTGACAAGTCAGCGCACAAGGAAAGGCTAACTTAAAGCAGTCTAACAGTCTTCCCAGTCACAGTCAAGAAGTCATCATCAGCCAAGGCACGAAGCGCTTCTTCAAACATCTCCTTCGTGATAGCCTTAAAGAAAAGTAAATCAAGTAAAGATGGGGTCCAGGTAGGGGGTTAAATACTTCAAAGACAAACAGAAATGCCTTAAATCCTACCAATTTTCTTATCATTGTTTTTAAGGTTTAGCTTCTTTTTGCAATTTGAAATCTGGCTAGGAATCCTGAAGCTGATTCTGCAATTTCAGAAGCCAGAATAAACTACAATACAGCAAAGATTCAACTCATTTATCTGCAGTAGAACTGGCTTTCTGATAATGTCAGCTGAAAAACTTAAAACGTCTCTCTCCCTCCATAGTGTGGTTTTAGGACAAGAATGTTGATTTGGAAGAACACCATGCTTTTTAAAATTAATGTAAAAATGAAAAAACTTACTGTATCAGACTGTGCTCGGAGATCATCAAAAAGCTGTTGGTACTTCAACGCTGGTGTTTTACCCTTTGACTGGATAAGCTTCCTTAAGGCTTGAGCCAACTCCTCTCTCCGCTTACGAGCTGTTGCGCTCATTCCTGAGAAAAGGAAAGAAAATACCTTTCAGAAAACAACTTAGGAGGACAGGTTAAGTTACAAAAGCCCAAGAGTACCCCAGATTTAACACTATGACATCACAAACCTGTAGTGAGAATGGATATGTCGACAATTCCGGTCCTCGGATCAGTAGCAGATTGTTTCAGTGCTTCCCGATGGAGCCGTTTTGCTTCTTCTACATCAACTGTTTCAACTTTCTCAGAAAAGCGTACTTTAGCATGCGCTTCTGCCAGTCGGATCAGAGACTCAAGTTGTCGAGGATATGCAGAAACCATTCCCCTGCCACTCCCAATCTTCCTCATGTCCACGTATGCCTGAAGAGGAGTCATTAAATATTTCAGGAAATCCAGTTACATTCATTATTTTCAGACTCCCCTTCATCCCCCACCTCTGATTTCAGAATATAAGCAATTTCAGCTAGCCATTCTAGATAATGTATTTTACTCAAATATTGTCACAATTCATAGAATCATAGAATAGAATCAAAGAATAGTCAGGGTTGGAAAGGACCTTAAGATAATCAAGTTCCAACCCCCCTGCCAAGGGCAGGGACACCTCACACTAAACCATGTCAGCCAAGGCTCTGTCCAGCCTGGTCTTGAACACCGCCAGGGATGGAGCATTCACAAAGGATGGACGACTGTATCACGTATACTACTTTCTGTTATAAAGCAATTAAGCCATGATGATGAATCAAGGTTTGAATCACTTTTAAAATGTAGGACTTGTCATTACAGACTCAAGTATGTAAGACGTATGTATTTCGTTCAGTAGAACTTTGTTTTTTATGTGATGGAACCAAACCAACACATTGGAAAGCTAAAGATTAGAGTGCAGAATGACTTGTATACCAATCCCTCTTTCCTTTTAAACGCTGGCAATTTTTAGAGATTTTTTGAAGGATCTTACAGAAAAGTTGTATGTAAACAGAAAGTGTACATACTAGGGGATTTTGCCAGTTTTTGACAACCTGGGAAAGACTCTGACCATTCTTAAGAGCAATTCCTTTACCTCAATCAGGGTTTGGCCTGCTTCTTCACTTAACCTGGGATTTACATAGCTACGAGCATATGCAATGTAATCCCTCAATACTGCCATATCCATGTAGTCCTCCTCCATCTTTTCTTCAGTTTGGTAGTAAAGGGAAATCAAATGGCGAGCAAGACGTCTGTCATAAGCTTCATCACGTGGATCCAACATCAAAAAGATCAAGTCAAATCTGAATGGTATAGGAATCCAATATTAGTGTGTCTACTTCCTTGCCATGGAAAATAGTTTGGGGAGTCTTGACTTAACTACAGGTAGGAGTTACTTGACTATTAATTCCTACTCTTCAGTAGGAGTTGCTCTATTAAACTGAAAGGGTATTGTTTTTCTAGAACTCTGAAAGTGCAGAATAGCACAGCGGATTTGCTTTCATCCTATGGACTTGAAACACTGAAAGTGAGATGTTCTGCAAAATTCAGATCCTGTGTTCAAGGCTGGCAGCTTTTGTGTTTTAAAAAAAAAAATCAACAAAAACCAATCACACACACACAGAAAACCTACACAAAACCCCCTACACACATACCAAATACAGAGGACAAACTTGCTGCTAAAGCAACTGCCCTGAAAGGTAACAGCAGACAAGGCACATACCTATATAGTTATTTCACTGATCTAAAAAACAAAGAAAAGCATAAATAAATAAAAAAACCCACCAAACCACACTTCCTGAAGTGGTTCTTCCAAAATCCTGAAGAAAATGGTTTATAATTTTACAAACAAGACGCTCAACTATACTGAACTATAGGCAGACACAAAGAATAGATTTTTAGCCAGTCAGTCACATATTTTCATAAGCTTAAATCCAATAAATGGTAGAATCCAGATGCTAACTAAGCCTAGTTTCATTCAGTACACCTGCACCAAGGTACTATTTGTCACTAGGTGGCTAAATTAAGCAGCTCTTAATTGAGCTCTAAGCTGCAAGTGCAGAATATTCAGTATACCACTGTACATCAAATTTCCAGTTAGTGTGGGAATTCTTCACAAGATGCAACTGCAGCACATCATTTAATCTTCTATCACCAGACACTAAATGTTTCTTTAAAAGCTATTGCCTGCCACCTCCACAGCTGAATTTAACAGAGCATAAAGCAGGCACAATCTTCAAAATCTATCACAAATTCCCCACTGTCAGTGTTTCACTTCAAAAGTTCCATGGAGCCAAGGAAAACATCCTGAGTTTTTTTGAAGTTAACAATACCGTAAGTTTCAGAACAACTCTTCTAGGAGATAATTAGGAATCAACAGAAAACCAATACCACAGAAATAGAGATCTCACAGATCTCAGTATAGCTTTTCTTCAATGTGTAAGAACCAAAAGGCAGTTCTCTGCTTACACAGAAACTGTAAGAAAAGCATTTAAAGTAAGTGCTATAGAAGGTTTCCACTACACTACAAAGAACAGAATTATTCTGTTCTATTACATTTAATAATTTTCAGAAGACATACATTTAATAATTTACATACATTTAATAATTTACAGAAGACAACACCTCATAAAAATAAGATATGCAAGCAGAAGCTCAGTACCTTGACAACAGTGTATGAGGAAGCTGAATGTTTTCAATAGTAGTCTTTTTTGGATTCCACTGTGATTCTATAGGGTTAGCTGCTGCTAGAATAGATGTACGAGCATTCAGTTGGCAAATAATTCCAGCCTGTCAAAGTGAAAAACATTCTGAAACCAGCTGCAACTATGTGCCACCAAACTATCCTCCCCCCTCCCCACAATTTCATAAGATCATTAATATTATTAAATGGGTTTTGTAGTAAAAAAAAATGCATTGCAAAGGCCTTTTGGAGTAAAGAAAGAACAAAAACATCTGGAAATAGTAGAGTTTGCTATGAAAGCTGTATTCTTTTGTAAATGAGTTTTTACATAATCTAAGACTGACAACAACAGAAAAGTATAATCCTTTGTTCTTCTGGTAACTTTTCAGTTTCAGCTACATAGCATATACCACATACTACATGCTTCGTGGAAAGAGCATGGAATTAAACACGTACCTTTGCAATGGAGAGAGTCTGTTGTTCCATTACTTCATGCAGTACTGATCTTGTGCTTTCATTCATTTTATCAAACTCGTCAATGCAGCAAACGCCATTGTCACTGAGGACTAGAGCCCCCGTCTGAAGAACCAGTTGCCGTGTTTCTGGATCCTTCATTACATATGCAGTAAGACCAACAGCACTTGAGCCTCTGCCAGATGTATACTGACCTCGAGGAACCAGGTTATACACATACTGGAGTAGCTGTGATTTGCTAGTACCAGGATCACCACAGAGAAGAATGTTGATCTCTGCACGAAAATTGCCTCTTCCTGTGTGAGTGAAATCCTTTCTTGATCCCCCAAAAAGCTGAAGCAGAATGCCCTATAAAAATACTCTTCTTTAAAAAATCAGAACATCACCTCTTGTATAGCTAACAGAGCAAATCTAACTGTGAACCAAAACTTCTAAGGGTTTGTTCTTTATATGTATCCTCATTTCCAGTTAATTACAAACATACAGTTAAACTGCTATGTCCTACAAACTCAGCTTTATTTCCCAGTATTTCCATTTCAGAATGAAATCATTGTATGGTTTTTAATTCAATTTCTAGCCATTTTAGAAACCTGTGAACCAGGATAATGTATAAATCTATAAAGAAAAAACAAAGGAATATACTTGAAGAGGATTGTTTAGTGTCTGACATAACCTTGAGAATGACCACAGACTGTAGTTTTTGCAATGATAAAGTTGTACTACCTCAGTTGAACGTATTATTGAAACAGTCCCTTCTTGTATATATCTAAATAATTGCTTTGCCATTCTGGAAGTTGGGGTCAACCAAATGTCATTTTAAAGCTATTGTTCTCTTGTGGATGTCTCTCTTAAGCAGTCACTATGTGCTTATTATAGTACTTATTCTTTGATCACCACCAATCTGAACATTCAAGAAACATCCAAGATGCATCCTGCAACTTGAAGTTTTCCCAGTTCTGCTGCTTTCTTACCTTTTTGTTATCTTTCCTCTAATTAACACTTCTCTATACTGTGAAAAGAGTTACAACACACTTACAACTCCATCCTGACAAGAGCATGCCATTTTAAGACTGCTCAAGATAGTTTTCTGAATTTTGAAGGCTTAAGTCATTTTTATAACAAATAATTACGAATGTACTTGCATATAAATACAAATCTTACAAGAGAAATACAGAATTTTCACCTTTTTGATATCTTCATGCTCGTAGATACTTGGAGCCAGTGCTGAAGAAAGTCTGTCATATATGTCTATTTTTTTAGAAAGCTCTTTTAGCATTCCCACACGTTCCTCTGTAAATATTTTTTGCTCTGCTTCCTCATCAACACCATGCAGGCGTTTTGAATCTGTTTTGCGATAGTGTATGACATCAATGTGCGTATTATAGATGGATTTTACAGTGCTGATCCTTGGATTAACTCGAATTGGGACTGCCCTGTAGATACCTAAATACAAATTTTAATCACAGCATTAGATATGAAGATCATGGTAATTCCAAAATCTGAGAATTTTACATGTTCCCTTGAGAAGTAAAGCTTTTCAAAATACCCTAATTACTTTATTTATTGTATTTATTTAATAATGTATTTCCCAGTACAAATAAATCATGTAGAAACCAATGGAACATACTCAAGTTACGGCACTATTTTTGCAGGTACATGTAACATTCTTATCACAAGTATTCTCAACAAGGAAAATGCTTAAGAATTTTGGAAAAAAATTAAGGCTTGATGCTTTTGGAAGTCCTGCTCCAACAGCATTCCCCCAGTTCTAAGTGCCAAGTTTAATAATAGTTTTATAATGCATCTCTAATAGCTAGTAATACAGCAGTTGTTTAAAACAATCGTTTATAAAACATGGTTGCATTATCACTACACTTACTCTATGTTACCACTTTTCTGACAGTAGACACCATTTCATATACTGCCTCTTCCTCACCTACATTCTCAGAATGACTGAAGCATCAAGGTCAGACAATTCACTCCAGTATGTTCATGTTTCCCTTGTACCAAAGGAGCCCAGAACTGGACTGCATACTCCAGATGTGGCCTCACCAAGTGCTGAACACAGGGGAAGGATCACCTCCCTCAACCTGTTGGCAATGCTTCCCTTAAGACAGCCCAGGAAGCTGCTGGCACCAGTCATCTGTTCTAGCAAGCCCCAATTCCTTCCAGTTTTGCTTTTGTCTGCAAGTTTACTGAGGGTGCACTCTGTCCCATCATTACATCCACATCATTACTGAAGTTATCCAACAGAGTCTGACCCTAGTATTGACCCCTGCGGTATACCTGTGGTGACCAACCTCCAGCTGGACTTTGTGCCACTGATCATAAAGCTTTGGGCCCAGTACTTCTGCCAGTTTAAAATCCATCTCACTGTCCACTTCTGAAACCCACACCTCATCAGTTTGTCTATGAGGATGTTACAGGAGACGGTGATGAAAGCCTTGCTAAAGTTGAAATAAAGAACACCGACTGCTTCAGCCATCTCATTGTAGAAAATTATTAGCCACTGTGAATACATGCTGACTACTCCCAATCACTTTTTTGTCCTTCATACAGTTAGAAGCAGTTTCTAGGATTATTGGCTCTATCACCTTCCCGAGGTTAAGATTAGGTTGACTGATCTGTAGCTCCCCAGGTCTCCTCCTTGCCTTAAGAGCGACACTGGCTGTCTTCCAGTATCTTAGCCAGTTACCATGACTTCAAAGATAACTGAGTGGCCTTACAAAGACAGTGGCCAGCTCCCTCAGCACTTGCAGGTGCATCCTATCAAATCCCTTTACAGGCAAGATCTGTGAAAGAGGATAGAAATACTCAAACCAAACTTTACCTGTGACATTAACTCTGTCACCTGGCTGAACTTTATCGACCAGATCATTGTGAGCAAATAGGACAACTGTATGTGGGGTCTGTCCTGCTGGCATATCTTCAGGGGACTCCTGCAGTTTGACCTAGCAAAAACCACTGTTTTAGTTTCAAGAAATAAAAGCTTCTCCACAAAGCATGCAACAGAATCTTGTTTAGCACGGTTTCCAGAGTAGTTCTGAATCTGGAACATCACTCAAGAACAAAATGCCCCCATCCAAACAGCAAAACTGATTACTAATGAAAAGATATGATGAAAATGAGAATTCTGCTAATTGCTACTGGTATGGTTAAAATGCTGTTACAGACAATGCTTATCTAGTCCAGGTACAAGTGGACATACTATATATAAAGTGGTTTCCATATGGAAACATCCAGATGTTCATTTCATTATTTTAGGGCATTTCTTCTCCAAAGTATACTGATACTTCCACTAAGCTGTTTCACCCATTTTAATGTTCCAAACACTCTTCCCATTTCAAAACATTCAGTCTCAAAGATATGTATGTTAATGCTACTGATGATACAGAGGGGTGGGGGAGCAAAAACCAGAAACTTTCTTTTTAGTCACTACCTAAGCACAACATACCATCTGTTTGTCAGAGAACATGGATCGATTGTGGATGAGCGCCATACTGTGCACTGTGTTACAGTTCTTGCATACTGATGGTTCAGCAATCCTACCACGATCGATTTCTACTCTGGTGGTGAAAGCGCAAACCTGGCATTTAAAGAATGCTTCTTGCATCTCAGGAATTAACTGTGAGCTTCTGATGACCATACCACTGATGGTGATAAGCTGATCGATATCTACAAAACATTGAGACTTGTGTCATGACTTCATACTCTTAAAATTTAAAGTAACCTTCAAAATTACATGTGTTAACTTTTAGGTGGCAGGTAGACGTTCAGTTAGGTACTAGTATTTTGCCTAAGACAAAGCAAAAAGAATCATAAATGGGTAATACATATATTCTAATTTACAGGAATATTTATACAAATGAAAGAATCCTTCACTCTCACAGAACTAAGAATATAAGTAGAAGCTCCAGGGAGACCTTAGCAGCTTTCTAGTACATAAAGAAGCCTATAAGAAATCTGGAGAGGAACTTTTCACAAGGGCATGGAGTGACAGGATAAGGCTTTAAACTGGAAGAGGTAGATTTAGATATTAAGAAGAAATTCTTCAGTATGAGGGTGGTGAGACACTGGAACAGGTTGCCCAGAGAAGTTGCGGATGCCCCATCACTGGCAGTGTTCAAGGCCAGGTTGGATGGGACTTTAAGCAACCTGTTCTAGCGGAAAGTATCCCTGCCCATGGCAGGGGGGTTGCAACTGGATGATCTTTAAGGTCCTTTCCAACACAAACCATTCTACGATGCCAGGAAAGATTTCCTTTACAGACTGATTATTTTGCATTTGGGCTCTAAAGCATTTGTTTCTGAACAGACTTACACAAACACAAGACACTGGTCTGGATGGACTATAAGTACAGTTTTATACAGTCTTAACAATAAGTCTATATAAACCCTTAAGATTATTTTCTAACACAGTAATCAAAAGTTTACCTTCAGGATTTAGATTTCTCATATTTGTAGTCTTCAGTGCATTATATGGCCTTACTTGAATCTGATGTTCTAATATTGAATCAGGGTAACGATCAAAAAAGATCTCATTGGCAGCCATGTCAAACGTTGGGATAACTTCCTGTGTGAAATGGTTAGAAACAGTTAAGCTTAAGTTTTCGAAAAGTAAATAAATTATAGAATTAAATACTCTGCATAAAGCACTTTCATGTTGATGATCAGCCAAGGATGACTAAAAGTTATCCCAGCTGAGCATCTTCCTATGTAACAGAAGACTTGCTGTTTAGATTGGGTTTATTTATTTGTGTATTGCAAAGAGGGGGAAAAAAAATAAAAGGCAAAACTCTGAACATTGTAGCATTGTAGTTTACCAGCTAATTTTGCATGCATGAGGTGCCCACTACAGTATCTGTGATCAACCATTAGGAAGACATTTTACATTAAGTAAAATAAAGAAGCTACAGAGATAACACTGAACATACGAAGCACACACTCCATCTGAACAAACAGATCACAAGCCAGAAATACAAAAAGGCCACTTGAAAGCCAGAAAACAAGCACGCTACTTCACCTGAGGGTAGCGGATGAGTTGCCTGTAAAGGTTTTCATCAAATGCTTTTAGATGGTCACAATTTACATTCAGGAATGGTTCCCCAATCATATTAATCTGAAAGATAGTTGAAAAGAAATCTTTAGCTCAATGGTACACAAGACTAAAAAATGAAGTTAGATTTCAGTGGGTTACAAATACCTCTTCAAGTCGTTGCATATAACGGGGCTCATTGAGATCCAAGCCAATGTCTTCATCCTCTTTACCTACTGGATCAATGAAGCGCTGAAGAAATCTCTGAATGTCAGAGGTAATAAGGAGACAGACAGGAAAGATGAGCAGAGTTTAGTAATATGAACACCAACTTTGTATCGATGTCAACTAATATTTGCTTAAGTCAAACTAGCTTTTCATTTAAAAAGAGGAAAAAAACCCCAAGTTGTTAACCTACCTGGAATTTTTCTTTGCACGAGGCTACATTAACATCTGTTCCCCAAATGACAAGCTTTTGTCCAAGAGACTGGTCAGTTGCTATATCCTCAGCCGGCTGCGTGGAAACAAAATAAGCATACACAAATGTAGTTGTCAAAAATAAGTTTCAGATACAAAATCCCAAGACATCTACCTACCCCATCTGAGTGTAAATCGACTTGTCTGGCTTTACGGACAGACCCGAGATCTGGCCTCTGCCTAATTGGAGTTCCTCGGATACCGCTTCGTGGGGTACCCTCCACCCTGGAACTGGGTGTGCCATATGTCAGAGGTGAACTGATATCGAAGTCAAGTGGAATACCTATTAGAAAAAAAGTATGATTATCAAGACATTTTGCATTACCGAGACATTTAGAGCAGACTAAAATTCAGCCTCTGCATTTGTCTCGTCATTCTTTTAACTCTACTGTCATAAAACAAGCAGCATCAATCGATTCCAGAGTCTTGTTAAAGCAGAAACAGTAAAAATGTTGCAAGTCTACCTAGAACTTTGCATTAACATCTCTTCCGAGAGACCCCAAGCTCGAGGAAAGCTTAGCTAGAGAACTTTAAAGCAGTACAGCATTTTACAGCTACACTGGTGTTCAAGCATAAGAAGTCAAACTGTAGCATTTTAGATGAAATGCATTCTTCAGTATTTTGGGCCTGCAAAACAAGTGTCATAACAGTTACCAGCTACTGCAATGAAAACCAGTCCTGTTTATAGAAATAAGAAAGGCATTTTAAGGCAACCAGTCAAATTATGTCTGCATTCATAATTTGACTGATTTATTGTATTCTAGAAACACATGAAAACATAAAGCATAACCCCTGATACATACTTCCCAAGATGGCTGAAAGCTACAACAGCAGATCTGCACCTTTGACACTGACTGTGTTCCTGTTATGTTCGCTATGACAAATTCAAATTGAAAACTTGAGACAAAACTATTTTTCCCACCCCCTCTATCTTCCCCCCGACTGTTTTTCGTTCTCCGCACCGGCTCGCTAGGCAGCAGCAGTGGAGCTGCCCAAGCCCCGGCGTACCGTACCGGAGTGCTGGAACTGCGGAGGGCTAGAAAAGAGCGCATCAGGTCCGCCGGGGCTCTGCAGGTCGGCGGGCGGGGAGGTGGGCATGGGCTGCAGCTCTCCGGTGGAGGTGGAGTCGTCGGTCCTGCGCTTCTGCGAAGCAGGAGACCGAGCATCCTGCGCTGCAAGGCACAAAGCAGAAACGGAGGCGACGTTCAGATGGTCGCGCTGCCGCATAAGGCGAACCGAGGAACGGGCACGGCGGCGGACGAGAACGCCCTGCAGCCAGCACCCACCCGCTCCCTCGGGCCCGGCCGCCTTCACCCCGCCCCGAGCCGAACCCTCCCCATTGAAACACTTACGAGTCGACGGATTGCTGCCCCGGCCGCGCTTGCTGCCGCGGCTGCGGCTGGGGGTGGAGGCGGGCGACGACATGGCGCTGCTGCGGCTCCCGCGGCGGTCCTACCCGTGGGGATCCGACGAGAGGAAGGCAGCTGCGGACGCTCTGCTCACCGGCCGAGCTCCGACCAGCGGATTCTCCTTCCTACCCCTTCACGCACAGCGGATAGACTGTGTCTAGGGACACAAGCCGATCACACCTGGATAAACGCAGCGACACTGGCAAATTCCCCGCCAAGCGACTCGCGTGTGCGCGCGCTCGCGGGCTTTCTGGCCAATGGTTAGGCGCGATCGCAACGGGAGCACCCAACGGAGACAGGAAAGGGGGGATGCAGAACGGAGAAGGAAAGGAGGAAGGAGATAAACTTTCCTGCCCCCCCAGCTGAGGGTCGCGCCGTGCTCGACTTCCTACAGTAAGGACAGAAGTATACTTGCAGCGTACTCCCTATGCTACGAGACGGAGGCTGTCCTCAGCAATGGCACATTACACACTCCCTCCCACCTCTAAATAGAACAGCCCGCGACGGCATGGGTTTCGCGGCAAAATTAGGCCCTCTGTCGGGCAGGGAGGCGTGGGGATGTTGGAGCAGCCCATTCTCTGCAGAGGGGAGATGTCTACTAGTGTATTGCGTCTATTGATCCGGTCATGCGGGGACACACATAAAGATGCCGCCTGCTGCTGGCCGTTAGACAATCGTGCTGCCTCCTTTCGCTCGGAATGGCGCGGCTGAGGTCTACCCACTCTTCTTCCTCCGAGTTTACCAGTCACAACGCCACAGCGCATCCGTCCTTCCCCCTCCCGTCCGTCCCCCCCAGTTGGCTGTGTTGGATCCGGCCGGGGGCGGGTCCTTGGCTCCCGCTTCCGCTTGTTCTTGTTGGGTAGCTGGCGGTCGGGCTGGGGCAGGATGGCGGGTGTCCAGGAGTACCTGCTCCAGCTACACCGCTGCCTGCAGCCTGGTGATGCTGCTAGCGCTGCCCTGCACGGATACACCCTCATCCGCAGCCTGGGCGAGACCTGCCTCACCAGCCTGGAGAGTGGCGAGCAGGGTGCGCTCTCGGGCCCGGGGACGGGCGAGGGGGCAGGGGTGCCTCAGGGGTTCTGAGCGGGGCCCGGCGCGGCCGTACGCTCGGTGTTGGCTTAGAAACAACTGCTCATCTTGGGGAGGTATCCCTAATGGGGGGGGGGAGCGGGCGTGGTTACACAGTGCATCAGACCCGTGGTCCTGGGGGATGGCCGTGCCGTCCCTCAGTTCTTAACATGACATTTGACGGTTGCTGGCCTAATGTGAAATGGTTCATTTCGGGGGAGAGACAGTTTCTTACCCCAGTTAACCACTTACCTTGGTTCAGAACACTTTAGTGCATGCTCCTCTCTGCCCACCTGCGCCCAGGTTGGCTTTCCCCCACCGCTGGCATGAGGTCAGAGGCACAGAACCTCTACTCGCATCCATGTGGGCGTCAGAAACACCCATGTCCAGCTGTGGTTTTTCTGATCACAAGCATCAGCCCAATCCAAGGCGTTAAGGCATCCTTCTGCACAAAGTGATGGGCTGGGTGGTATCCAGCCCTCCAGCTCTGCCTGCTGTAGAAAGGAAACCAACTGCCCATGGTTTGTTTGCTTCCTTGCAGCCCTGCACCTGTCCCTCGTGTTTTCCCAAGAGCATGGCTTACTTGTGTTTATCCACAGGTCCCTCGGCACCGAGGAGGTAGGTTGATAAACTTTAATTTATATAATAAAGGAATCAGAATAGTTTGGTTTGGAAGGGACTTTACAGCTAATCTAGTTCCAACCCCCCTGCCATGGGCAGGGACACTTTCCAGTAGAGCAGGTTGCTCCAACCCTGTCCAGCCTGGTCTTGAACACTGCCAGGGATGAGGCAGCTACAACTTCTCTGAGCAGCCTGTGCCAGTGCCTCACCACCCTCACAGTAAAGAACTTCCTAATGTTTAATCTAAATTTACCCTCTTTCAATTTAAAACCATTAATTTTTAAAGAAATGTTGAGATAGTGCTTGATGAACAGCACATTATATTATACATATTAAGACTAGATGTTTTTTTCTTTTAACTTTCAGTTTCGAGATTGCAGGGAAGAAGCACTGAAGTTTCTTTGTGTCTTTATGGAAAAAATTGGTGACAAAGCTCATCCTTATGCCTGTCATATTAAGGTGGGTAAAAGAAAATTGTTTCCTAAAGATCTTTCCAAAATGGTTGAAACAATTTGATGTCGTACTATAACCGATTGATAACTATTATTCTCCCCTCCCTCTATGCTTTATTCATGTCCAGTGTGCTTGTTAGAGCTGGAATAACTTGATGAACATAAAGTATAATTCATATAATAAAGAAATGTGGAATTGTTTCTTCAACTATAGACTTAATTAACTTCTTTTTATAGAACATAGTGGGTATTGATTTTGAAAATATGTTCTTGATATCGAAAATAATAGTTATAACTTTATTTATACAAACCAAGCACACTAATTAAAGTGTCACATCTTAATATTTCTATAGGTGGTGGTTAGCTTTAGGTATTGTTTTTAAAAAAAATCTGTGAAATTGTTACTTTTGCAATATATACAGAAATTGGTGGAAAATACAGTACCTCTAAAACCAACATTCTTTGACTTTAGGTTGCTGAATAATATTGCTCTGTATAGACGTGCTCAGCTGTACCAATGTACTTTCTGTTCTCAAGTCAGTAGCTATGTATTGTAAGGAATGAAGTGGAAAATTTGCTACATGTGTCTGTTATTTCAGAAACTGTGCTTTCTTTGCTTGAGCTGGGATTTGCTTTTATGTCAGACCATGCTGCAGTGTTGTCAGTGAAGCTGCTTTTGGGACTGGACATTTTTATTGTTTTAGTCTTTTTTAAAACCTTAAGCTTGTTAGGAACAGATACTTTAAAGAAGTAGTTTAATACATTGTTATCTTGGAATTCCTTTCTCTGCTTGTATTATAATCTCTATTTTCTTTTCTATCTAGCAAACTTGTATTAGTGCTTATACAAAAGAGAGAGCAGCAAAATGTAAAATCCCAGCTCTGGAACTCCTGATTAAGGTAAAGGCATTTTATAAATATCTCTTGCTTCTAGAAAAAGGTAGAAAACCTGTAGTATTGATATAGTTACACCACGGCATGCAGAAAACCTGTAGTCTGCAGTAGTAAGAGAATAGTGGTAGTGTAATATTTAGGTGTTAATAAGAGATATATCTTTACAACAGATGTCTTCAATATTCCTCCAGTTGGTTGCTTTCATATGAGCATGTCATTCCTTAATCTACTAGAGCAAGACACAGTTATTTTGGGGGCACTTTCAGATCTTCTCTTTTGCAGTTTATTATGTTTAAGGAGAAATTTTGCCGTTCAGTTTTCTTCTTGCTTAAAAATGTAAGTATGTGTATGGTGTGGAGGAAGAGAAGGGCTTTTTTCAGAAGGCTTATTACTGTGTGAGACAGTAATTTCAGAACTTTCTTCCTTAGAATGCATTAGACCATTGTTTTGCAAATGCTTTTGTAGCTACTTAGTTTTTTTTATGAAAACCAAAACTCCCTTCTGAGTTATTCTATCTCAGTTTTTCTGTAACTTGGTTTTGCTTTGTAGCGGCAGGGAGAGAAATACCATAAGATAAAGGCTACTGCAGACTTGCTAAACCTGTGCTTTTGTGGGGTTTTTATATATAAATATAAAAATCTACTGTCTGTAATTTTCATGTAGATGATCTATATATGATATGTATAATATAAATTAAAACCTATAAAATTAATACATATGTAGGAAGGTAGTTTGTTGTTAAAGTAGATTTCATGCCGGTACTCTTTCCTGGACCAGTCACCTTAAATCTCTTTTATTGAACAGCATACTTAGGCTGAAGTTAAACATACGAACTGTGGTTTTATTTAGATCAAGTAGGACTGTAGTACTGATATTAATGATTTTCCTAAATTCTGTTTTTTTTAATTGTAGTTACTTCGAAGTTTACAGCGTTCCTGTCTGATGGAAGAAATGAAAATTGGGGAGATATTTAATAAATTTTATGGGGAACTTGCCATAAAAAGTAAAATTTCTGACACAGGTAGGCTTTACATTTTCTGCCACTGACCTTTGTTTTATTTGCACTCAGGTTTTGTTGCATCATACCCCAGGAGAATGTATAAATGCTATTCCCATGGCAAGTGTGCTTAAAAATAGTAGCTGTTGGTGCTCTGGAGCTAGTAAAATTTGTTCAGGTCTTTTTATCATGATCATAGAGTTAGCTGCTGCTTCGCAGCCCTGTATATATGTATGAGCTAACGTGTGAGAAATATTATAATTGCGTTTAGCTGTGGCAGTTCATACTGAATTTAAGCCTAGATCTGGTTTAGGATTCCTGACATAAGAGAGTAACTGCCACACCTTGAATGCTTGGTTCAGTTTTGGGCCACTCTATGAGAGAGACACTAAGGTGCTGGAGTGCATCCAGAGAAGGGCAGCAAAGCTGGTGAAGAGCCTGGAGCACAAGTCTGATGAGGAGTGGCTGAGGAAACTGGGGATGTTTAGCCTGGAGAAAAGGAGGCTCAGGGGAGACCTTGCCACTCTCTACAGTAGTGAGGTGGGGGTCAGTCTCTTCTTCCAACAAGCGTTAGGACAAGAGGTAACAGTCTCAAGCTGTGCCAAGAGAGGTTTACATTGGCTATTAGGAAAATTTTCTTCACAGAAAGGGTTGTCAAGCATTGGAAAAGCCTGCCCAGGGCAGTGGTGGAGTCACCATCCCTGGAAGTATTTAAAAGACCCATAGATGTGGCACTTGGGGACATGGTTTAGTGGTGGACTGGGCAGTGTTAGGTTGACTGTTGGGCTCAATGATCTTAAAGGTCTTTTCCAACCCGAATGATTCACTGATATTAAAGCTCTTTATAACCTTATTCCATACCTGCCCCGTTATGTCCTCAGAGCTGCAGTTTTACTGAGAGAGCTGCTGCATCAGTCACCCCTAATGTGAGCTCATCAGTTCCTCCTTTGCGTAATCATGTTATTTATGATGTTAAGCATACCAATACGAGCTCTAATTTGATCTTCTTGGCTAGTTGCAGCTGAAATCTTGGTTTGACTGTTCTAACCCTTGCAAAACTTGCTGTGTCTGCATAGAACCCTTCAGTCTGAACTCAAGCCTAAGTTTCTGCTAGC